GATATTTCAAATTGAAACTAGCCATTGCTACATAAAACACAGAGAAAGCATATCTAAGCCACAATGAAACATAAAAATTTTCATTCTCTTTGATTATAATATTTACTATTGATAAGTATAACATAACATATTTCTCTATTTATTTTTGAGTAGTTTATTCAACTTTTTCTGTTTGATTGTAAGATTTAACATTGATTAATATAACTGAACATATTTCTCTGCTTATATTTGAATTGTTCATATTTACTTATTGTATTTATTATTAATTACAGTTGTAAATTTCGTTAATAAAATTTAAAAAAAAATATTTGAGTATTTTGTAATCAATAAAGAGAAAAACAATTTGACATTTTATCGATAAAGAGGACTTAGTCTCGAGTTTTGGAAGATATTTCAAATTGAAACTAGCCATTGCTACATAAACCACAAGGAAAGCAAACTAAGCCACAATTAAACATAAAAATTTGATCATAATATTTACTATTGATAAGTATAACATAACATATTTCTCTATTTATTTTTGAGTAGTTTATTCAACTTTTTCTGTTTGATTATAGGATTTAACATTGATTAATATAACAGAACGTATCTCTCTGTTTATTTTTGAGTATTTTGCAATCAATAAAGAGAAAAACAAATTGACATTTTATCGATAAAGAGGACTTAGTCTCGAGTTTTACCAGAAATCTGATCTCTTGACAGATACCAACTTGCTAATGATATTTCTTCATCGGTCATTTCTGTTAACTTCTTTGCGATATCTTCACGATTGCATAATTTCCTGCTACTGCACACTCGAAAATCTTTTAAAATTCATGGGAATATCATTTAATACAGATATTTGGTGTTAAAATACTTAATTAGTATTTTGTCAGATTTAAGCAGAAGAGCTGAAATTTTAACAGTTTTTTTCGTAGAAGATTTCTCATTTTTTACGTCCTCTTTTTGTCCTTTACACTCGTAACAATTTTGTTTGTACAATACTTTGAAGCGGAGGACTTATATTTTCATTTGTTAATGATTTAATTGTACCACTTTTTAATAGCACTTTGAATATTGAAATTTTTCATTTAGAATTTTGTCATACTTGAATATATTCCAAGGCCACGATATGGTAATGAATAGTCTGTAGCCGTGATTATCATGTAATTATAATATACTCTATATTTTTATTGTAAATCATTGAATGTATTTCATTAGATAATTAATTTTGTGAATTCATTAATTCAGTTTTAGATATCAACTTTAGAATCATCTTATAATGGCCTGACTGCCAAAAATATTTTTTCCTAAGTGATTTATCTTTGTGTCCTCTCAAGTCTATTCTTTCCAGTTCATGGAACTGGAGCGAGTACATGGATATCAATCACACGACCTATTTGAAGATGAGTTCAATCAGGTTTGAATTTAGGAAAAAAAAGCAGGGTTTAGATCCTTCATTTATAAATTTAAAATAGGGTAAAATACAATTTTTCTTTATAACTAGTTAGCTTCTTTATAGCATTTACATCAATAAACATCAATTTAGACCAACTAACTCTTTTTTAGATGATAAATGCTTACTCATAATTTATTAACTGTAGCTCCATGCCTTCAGTACCCTATCGACAATAAAGTGAGACCTAAGTAAACCGAGGCCCAAACAAAAACTTCAAATATGAAGAGATCCGCCACTTCCATCAAAACGTATCAACGGAACAGATCAAGAATCGATTTTCAACACAATTTCCATGATCCATCTGCAGCGTTATCAATTAGTCCCATTTGAAAGCCTATCGTTACACCAGAACAATCATCGTAGAGGATAACGTGCGTATCGTCATTCCTGGACGTCTTACAGCCCTCGAGCCAGAGCTTAAAATGTAAACTCATCGCAGACGAAGGTTTGAATGTAAATTAAAAATGTGAATGTTATTTTAAGTAAAATGAACCTTGTCTGACACTCCAGAGTCGCTGCTTTCTATAATTACTAGGTAATTTGAAGATCAAAAGAGGATATATGTTACGAAAAATGTAAGAAAAGTTTTGGTTTTTAAGTCGTTTCAGTCTGGTATGAGGATTCTAAGTTAGATGTTTGTCTAACTTAGATGTTTGTCTAAGTTTATGATTCCACTATACAGCAATGCCATCGTGTGGTAGACGTAGTATCCTCTGCATTGGAGCGCGGTATGTACTGTACGGGAACCTTTCTCGATGTTGAACAGGCGTTTGATAGAGTTTGGCACCCGGGACTGCTGTACAAACTCCGAAAATTCCTACCATCTACCTACTTTCTCATTATCCGTTCCTACCTTACTGATAGATACTTTAAAGTAAATCACAACAATGTATATACATCCCGTTTTTCCCAGTCTCCAGGTGTTCCTCAAGGTCCTATCCTTTACACAGTTTATACAGCTGACATCCCAACCCATCCCAACACTGTCATCACCACATATGCTGATGACACATGTATCCTATCAGTCAATAACGACCCATCTATTGCATCCCAAACCCTTCAATCCCACATCACAAACCTTGAAGAATGGTGCCAGAACTGGAGAATTAAAATAAATTCCAATAAATCCCATCAAATTACCTTCACCCTTCGTCGTAAACCAATGACTTCCTGTCCTTCAGTATCCTTTAACAACACCTCACTTATTCCTGTTGAACAAATCCGTTACCTAGGACTCCATCTGGACAAACGTCTAACTTGGAATCCTCATACCAGACTGAAACGACAAGAAACCGCTCGACGTTTCCGACTACTTCAACAATTACTAGACAAACGCTCTAACCTTCCAACCAATTATAAAAGACTGATTTACATGACTATAATAAGGCCTATTTGGACTTACGGGGTTGAGCTATAGGGCTCCACCAAGCCTTCAAATTCCTCTCGCATACAGTCCTTGCAATCCAAAATCCTTCGTAAAATCCTCAATGCTCCTTACTTTGTTACAAATAAAATTATCCATAATGACCTTAATGTTCCTTATGTATCAGATTTGGCCCAATCCAGATATCTGTCCTTCCATAATAAACTTCATAACCATCCCAACCCTCTTGTCTCTAACCTTGCTTCCTATTCGATTCCTGAAAACCCTCCGAGGCGTCTGAAAAGAAGATGGCCACGTGATCTTCTAATATAGACATATTATTAGAGTGCTACCAATGGGTAGTTTCTCAACATGTGTTCCATGTCTTTATACCAATGTGCAAATTTACTAGATGTATTTTTTTGTATACAGTTGTAAATATCATTTAAAATAAATAAAATAAAATAAGAAATTTTATTTGTCAGAATTCGAACAAATAATGAAATGTTTTTAATCCGTGTCAGTTGTCTTTTTTTATTATATATATACTTTGTTATAATTACAGTGTTAGATGCGTTAAGATAAAGCTAATCTCTAATAGTTCAAGTTCACCGCTTCAATTAGTGAGGTATTGCTTCACCAAATCCACGGTGCCACTTGAATTAATAGTTCGCTGTGAATACTTCTCTTTACCAAATAATGAACATCCTTCTAAAACTTCGTAAATGGCTTTATCTAAGAAAATTCTCAGAAATCGAATGTTTTCTCTTAAATTTAATTAAATTGATGAGGTACTAAAAACTCAAGGCTATCTATTTCCTTCCCATTTGAACCGTAAGATAATGTCATTAATAATAGAGAAAAAAGGTCGCCTTCACCATTATTGGTTCGTTTGTCATACATTGGTTTGGCAAATAAGTCCTTTCGTTTTATTTTTATGTCACCATCATACACTTATTATCTGAAGAATTAATCCCTAAGGTGGATTGTTTATCCTCTTTGTAATATGTCAACAACTATATCTGTTAACTCTTGTCAAAACTAGCTTAGTATTGTGTTTGCTATTGCACTGTGAACTTGGGAGGAAATATCATTCACTATCGGCATATTTTGTTGTATTATTTTAAAAACACCAAGACAACGCTAGGCCCTTTACCTCATTTTGTCACTAAGTGACTACCACTTATTCCAGTCTCTGCAGAACTCCATGAATGGAAAAATATTCCAAAAGGAAGAGAACATCAAAAACCACTTGGACCAGTTTTTTAACAATAAACTCTAGATATTCTATAAACATGGCATTATGCAGTAATTGGAAAAACGGAAAAAAGTCATATTAAATAATGGTCAATATATTGTAGATTAAAAAAAAATTATGTTTGTAATACATTACGTTTTATTTCACCCTGAAAAACCGAAAGGACTTAGTTGCCAACCCAAAACTTATATTTCTTTTGTTGCAATTTGTATTTCTTTCATTTGTATTGTATTTCTGATACATCTCCTTGTATTTTTATACAAGTTAATAGGAAAAGAAGTAAAATGTGTTTAATTTAAGACACGAAATTAAATATGGAGAAAGTGCATATATTTTAAGAAACTATCAAAAAAGTTTCTATAAAAAATAAAATAGCAACATTATTTACTTTTTATTTTGTTTACTTGAACTATTTAAATAAGTTGTGTAACAATCGTAATGTTATGAAGAAGATAATGGATATACTTTCTTATATTTTATTTTATACTAAATAAAAATCGAAAATATTTTTTTTTAAAATGACGGTAACAATTTTGTTTTCAAGAAAATTTAAAAAAAAAAACATTACATATACTCAACTTAAAGAAGGCACAACTGCAATTTATTAGTCTATAAAGCAACATAAGTTAAGTATTACATATTAATATAGTTAAGTATTTCATATTATAGATATGAATAAATAATAATACAGTAAAAATAATTTTAAAACAAATCTAAGCTTCATTCATGAAAATATATCTTTTCATAGGCCAGCAAAAATTATGTACGAGGTGCCAGACTGGCCGCTCCTCGTACCTCGTACATGACGTCAGAACTTCGAACAAATACCCGGATCCTCTTACAAACGGCAACACTGATTGAAACTAATAGATATAGCCTCTATGGAGAACTTCTTTGATATCGAGTACTCCACGGCGTCATTGCCCCCTCCACAATGAGAACAAGTATTTATATCAAGCGTTTAGAACAACAGATATTCAGTAACCATGGATGTTCTCTTCTTCTTACTTGCCATCGTCGGTTGTGTTTTGGCTAGACCTTCCAGTGAAAATGTGAAGTCAGTGAGTAATAAATAATATTACATTATATTAATTTAATATTAGTTTACATCTGTGTTTTTAATATATGGCCGCTGGTATTTGAGCCATCATGGAATATCAACTATTTTAATTTTTTTCGTAAATATCTATTACCTGTTTTTTTTTAAATAGATAAACTATAAACTCTCAAAATGAATTATCCTATTATCAGTAGGAATAAGTAATGCGTGATATTTGTTTTCACCTTCAATTTGTTTATTCATCACAAATTTAAAACTTTTTATAAATCCGAAATGTTTTAATTATATATTTTTTTAAATTAAATAAACAATATAAATGGTGACAGGAAGAAAAGAACAAAGAGGTTGTTGCTACTGCAATGATGTAACAGCTCGTTCAATTGTGAATCATTTGCTTATCGTCCGCCGTTCGGGTATGTAGGAAACAATACAATATACCTTAACAAAGTAAAATTTCAATTATTTATTATTAATTTAAAATGAGGTTGATTCACTCATTTAATTTAATATTCCTTACTAAAAAAAAAAATAATAGCAGGGATTAAAAATTTTTTGTAATAAAGTTCTAGGTATATTAAAAAGTTTAAATACTTATGTTAAAACAAATAATAAATTAAATGAGAAAAAAAACAGTAAGTGGGCTCATATTACACCTATAATTTATCTTGAATTAATTATCTGATTCTATTATTTATTTTCTTTAATTAGATAAGATTGTATAGTACAACAATCAATTTTTAGATTTACTGTTGTGCGAAAAGAATTTCACTAACAGAGCATTTAAGTAAAAGTAATTTGAGAGTTTTATTGAAAAGTTATCGGGGACAATTCCTAGTATCAATAATCAAAAATAAAAATTTCAATCTATCGGAACTGATTAAAAATACAATTTATTTAACTTTATACTACAAACAATTTACATTTAATAAAAATTAATTATTTCAAATATTAAAAAAAAATAATATGACTCAAGGTTTCAATATCTATTCATTTGCAAAAGAAGTGGATCGTTCAAAATAATATGAAAAGTTAAATAGAATTCAAATTTAATGATTTTAATTTTTAAAATGTAATTTACTTTTATATGTTTAGAAGTAATAAACAATTAGACAGTTGGTTCCCCTATTTAATTTCTTAAGCTGTTTTATATTACATTATATTTTAATATATCCTCATACCAGACTGAAACGACAAGAAACCGCTCGACGTTTCCGACTACTTCAGGACTTATTAGACAAACGCTTTGACCTTTCAATTAATTTCAAAAGACTCATATACATGACCATAATAAGATCTATTTGGGCTTATCTTTACAATCCAAAATCCTTCGTAAAATCCTTAATGCTCCTTACTTTTTCACCAATAAAATAATCCATAATGATCTGAATGTTCCATATGTTTTCGGTTTGGCCCAATCCCAACCCAGATACCTATCCTTCTATAATAAATTTCAGAACCATCCTAATTATCTTGTTTCTAACCTTGCTTCCTCCTCGATCCCTGATAACCGTCCTAGCTATCTGCAAAGAAGGTGGCCTCGATGTTTTCCTAATTTAAAAACTATATTTGAGTGCTATCAATGGGTAGATTCTCTACAAGCCTTGTCATGTTATGTATTTATCTGTATCACATTTGCTGAGTAAAGTTGTAAATTTCATAAATAATAATAAAAAAAAAATATTTTAATAAGTCAAGAAAATTTGGCGAAAGAAAACTGTTGTTTACATTGCTTTTGTTTGTTTTCTGTCCTAGCCATCTCAGTCGATTCTCTTCTATCACATCATTGGCCGGCTCATAGATGGTGTTGCGTACTCTGTCTCTTCTCGTTTTCCCCTCAATCTTTCGGAGGAATATCATTTCTGAGGTTTAATCGATGTTTATTTTTAGCGTCCATAATTCTGAAGACTACGTAAAAATGGGAAGAAATGCCGATCTTAAAACAGCCACCTTTGTTTTCTTTTCCACCTCACGTCTGTTTAGAAAACCGTTCTTAACTGCTTCAAACATCCTGCTAGCAGCAGCAATTCGCTCAGTTACCTCTGAATCGATGTATCCATTTTCATTAAGCTGTACGCCCATGTATTTGTTGTTTTCTACTTACTCCAGGTTTTTGTCTTCGACTCTGATGACGCGCATATTTCTCCTAGGTTTCTTCCCAACCCTCATTAATTTTGTTTTTACAGGGTTAATAATCATATTAATCTGCCGCAATTCTTCTTTTAATTTATTAATATTTTATTGAAGATTCCTTTCTTTGTCCGAAAAAATAACAACGTCATCAACGAATGCAAGTATTGAGAGGCTCACTGATCTCAGGTTGGCATATCCCAGGTGAAATTTCCGCATTTTTCCCTTAGCTCTTCATATTGCTGAGTCCATCACAAGTATAAACAAAAGTGGACTAAGACTACATCCTTGCCGGATTCCAATTGTTGTCTTGATTTCCTGTGAAGTGCAGTTGGCAAATCTTACTATATTTCTTGTTTTCCTGTAGGGACTCTCAACCGCCAAAACATGCCCTTGATCAATCCCTTTTTCTCTCAAGGCCTCCAAGATATCAGACTTTCTCACCCGATCGAAGGCCTTTGTAAGATCAACAAAGCACAACGACATTTCCTTTTTTCTCCAATACTTTATCGAAAACTTGTCTCATGGTAAAGGTAAGATCCTAGGTGCCAAGATTTTCCCGAAAGCTGTATTGTTCTTCTTCAAGTAATCCTACGATTCTCCTTCTTACTCTCTTTTCTATGATTAAATTAGAGTTAGAGTAAATCTTACTTGGTACACTCAACAGAGATATGCCTCGGTGGTTGTTACAATCTCTGTTATCTCCTTTCTTTAAAATAGGGACGATGATGACCACTTCCCAATCCTGCGGTATTTTCTTCTGCTTCCACACTAAGTTTAGCAGATGCAGCAAGGTTTCTTTTCCTTTCGGCCCCATGTATTTCAGCATTTCAGGAGTTACCCCATCACTACCTTTCGGATTTCTCTATCTTCATACTCCAGATTGCTTCTTCCAGTTCGTCATCGCCAATGAAGTCGTCTTCTTTCCAAGGACCTACTTCTCTTGTTTCTTCATCTAAACAGGGTGCCTGTCCAGTTTCATTCAACAGATCTTGAAAATATTCCCTCCACCTTTCCATTATCTAATCCTTCTGATTGACAATGTTTCGTTCCTTGTCTTTGACGAATTTCAGGGTTGGCACTCTTTCCTTTCTTAATCTCTTGAGGAATCGGTAAAAAAGCTTTTGATTTTTGTAGAAATCCGATTCTAATTTTCGCCCAAAATCTGTCCAGGTTGTTCTCTTGGCCTCTATAACTTTATTTTAGCCTCAATCCTTTTTCGCTTGCACTCTTCGAAGTTCCGCGGTGTTTTGTGTTCGAGGTATTCTTTCCAGATTTTCTTCTTTTCCTCTATTACCTTTACAACCTCATCTGACCACCATGCTGTTCTCTTGTATCGGCCTCCAATTCTTTTTATACCACAAACCAATGTTGCTGCTTCCATAACTATTTTCTTAAAATAGAACCAGTTTGTTTTTATTTCATCAGAATCCCACTGATAGTCCAAATCTCTGGCCATTCTCTCAATTTCTTCCTGGTAGTAGGTACAATTTCATCTTCTCTTTGCCTATGTGCCTTAACTACTTTTATTTGGGTTCTTCTTGCCTCGTTTTAAAGTTCTTAAAAATTTAAATATCACAAAAATATGGTTCTCTTCTTGTTTGTAAATCCGGTAAAAATTAATCTCCTCAAAAATTAAAAACTCTGTAAAAAAAAACGCTTCCTCAAACATTTTGATGAAACTCCCTTCTACAAATTCTGCAAATATCAAGCAGTGATTCTTCATTTGATTGAATCTGTGAAAAATATGGCCAGATAGTGATTTTGTTTTTAATACATATGATGAATAAAATGCTATTATTATAATTTTCGTAATAACTATTCATGAATAAAATTATGACAAAAATTTAATAATAAATCACGTTCTTCATTGTTTTACGTTCAACACAGCAGATAATTTCCATGACACAAAGTTCCCAACCTATCTAATCTCGGGCAGCCTCCTATCTCTTATTGTCACCATTTCAGAAAGATATTCATTAAAATGCCAATAAATCCACTTTTGGTAACCCATGATTATTATTAAATTCCCAACAAAAAAAAAATACAAATATTTTTTTAAGCCAAAACAGAGTTAAGATTTGTATTTCTCACCTATAATAATCTACAAAGTTTATAAATTAAATTAAAAGTTATTTGCGAATTCTCAAAATGTATACATTTTCATTTTATTGTAACCGTGATTATTTGAAAGATTACTAAATTCCATACAAAATTAAAAACTCATCAAATTTGGACCATTATTAGCTGAGCATTTTGGTTTGCTACATCATTTTAGACTTAATACTTAACTTAACATTATTAAAAATAAATGAACTTTTTATAATAATCCTCTTTTCCTTGGTCGATTAAATGACAAAAAAAAAATAGAAAATGAATCCTTCATCTTATTATACATCGAATTATTTAATTAACTTCTTATTTTGTCATTTAATCACTGATCAACGTTCTTTGCGAATGGTTCTAATGGGCCAACTATTTTAAAATTTAAAATAAATTGAATAATTTCAGGCAAAAAGAAATTAAATAAATGAATAAAAGACAAAATAATATGTACCAGTACAACCCAGAAGGTCTTGGGTACAATATTGTAAGGCGGTACTGTTTCTTGGTCAGCCGTTGTGTAAGGAGGTGATTGGGTCGAGATTACGCACAACCGCTAGGTATTTTCACTTATTCAATTGTTTAATTTAGACCAATCACTTTATGGAGACCGAGTGTATCTTAGAGTCAAACTCCAGCAATTATGCCTGCCTTAGCAGGTTCGAACCTTGGACCCGGAGCGTAAGAATCCTGTGTCTTACGCACTGACCTATCTCATGTTCAGATTTTATTTTTAAAAAAAAGAAAAAGGTATTTATCAATATTTACATTTCTGCTGTTTTCGAAGATTAGAAATATATCGAAATATAAAAATATTTTTTGGATATATCGAATTACTATTTCGATATAGTTGAAAAATATTTATACGGTATACGTCGATGTATTTGTTCAATATTTACAACCTTATCCAATCCCAGAGAAGTCGCCTTTCCTGTTCCATTATATAGATCTAATTTTACATACTATTATGTAACCAGATAAAATTTAAATAATAGCAAGTCGTTGAGAAAAGAATGACAGAAATTGAGAAATAATAACCAAAAATTCTACACAAGGTGCAGAATTGTGGTGGATGCGATTTTTCAAGGAATGACATATAATTTATACTACTGTAGGCCTTATTATTATTACTAAAAAAATGTATGTAAAGGCACAAATGTATAATATGCCTTAATAATGAAGTATTAAGATCACAATCACTAATTAATATTTCATGAATAGCTATTATTTATTTTATGATTACACAATGACAGAATTAAAATTTTAAAAATACTATGAATAATTTTTTATTTAAATTTCAGGTTGAAGTTACTCTCTACTATGAGGCATTATGCCCGGATTGTCAAGATTTCATTCCAAACCAGTTGCTTCCAGCTTATACTGACACCAAATTTGATTTTGCTTCTCTAATTTCAAAACTCACATTGGTTCCTTATGGTTGGGTAAATGTTGTAAGTATTCATCACAATGAATTATTGTCAATCAAGAACGAATTATAACTTTATAAAACTAGTAAACAGATATAATTTAGTTACTGGGTGACTAACTAATTTTAATGATAAAATTTTATTAAACTACTAAATATTTCTCTCATGTTAATTTTGGATTATAGATGTTTACATAGCGTTGCCGTTGCCCGGCAACCTGGATCAAAGATAATTTGATAAAATATTAAATAATCTAAATATTAAGTCCCGAGGTCCAGGAGGGGTTTTTAACTCTGACGTTAATCCCCTCGTCCTCACCCTCTGACCCTAGAAAACCTCATTTAGCCTATATGGGCTACATAGGCTATAAACTTCAAAAGCTTATTGGAGGATACTTGAACACTATTATTTCATAGTAGAATTACATTTCAACTTATGTACAGAAGGTTAAATATGATTACTTCCCCTTATTATTCTTAATTCTATGGTTCTTAAAATTATTTCCCTCACCTATTTCCTTTGAACCCCGTAGGCACCTAGTCACTTCCTTAATTTGTCTCCACTTTGACTATTGTACGGTATATGGGGGCGTCTCTGGGGTTTTCTAGACGAAACTAAAACGTTTGATAAATAGTTTTGATCGATTCATCTTCGGGATCCCAAGGGACGCCTCTGTTTCCCGTTTTTATGCAGAGTTGAAGTGGCTTTATCCTTCCTACCGTCGTATCCTTCCTACCTGGCATCCTTCCTCTTTCAAGACATCCAATCCAACCGTCCTTCATACATCTCCGAGCTCCTTCAATTGAAATTCTCTGTTCGTTCCCACAATACTCGTTCCCGGTCTAATAATTCCAGACAATGATTTCCTAGAGTATAAAATTTGAAATGTTTATATTTCATTTATTTGAGGTGGAGTTAGGGTTGAAGTTTTTTCATTGATCTCACTTAAGTTTTATTAATTTATTTTTTAGATAAATGCGACAAGCCATGATTACCAATGCCAGCATGGTCAATCCGAATGTGAGGGAAACAGGCTACATTCGTGTGCCACCAAGTATATCCCCGACGTACTAACTACATTGAATTACATCTCATGCTTAGAAAAACAGGCGATCATGGCTTACAAACTTAGTAGATCTTCTAAATATCCCATTGATAAGGTAAGAGGAAAGAAAAGAATAAATACAAAAATAATAAGATATTAACATTAGACTTATTTATTTAAATTTGAGAAATACTAACACCAAGGAGGTAAATCTTTAAACGACCCAAAACAAAAGTTTGAACTTCTACAGCCTTTGAAATCTCAAGGTGTGTGTATTATGTAAATCATTAAATAAGAAAAATACACGGTGTTAAACAAAATATCATTCATTTAAATAATAAGATATATGTTTTATATTTGATTTCAACTATTTGTTCATTATGATTATCATTAATAATATATATATAATTAATTAATTTTTATTTGTTTGTTTTTTTAGTAATGTTTAAAATCAAATTTATATACTTTCTAGTGCCAAAATAAACTCCCAGCTGGTCTCTACCCAAAAATAATCAATTGTTATAAATCAGATGAAGGATGGGAATTATTCGAGAAAAATGGAAAGAAAACAGTTGCATTTTTTCCATATGGTGGCTTCGTTCCTTATGTCTCCTTCAATAATGTAAGTAAAAAAAAAAATCTGGTGCGCGCAACACACAACTTTCACTTACCACTCAGTTTTGAACAGAAATTATTTTCTAGTCATATTGGCCTATAATAAAATAAATAACATAAATACTATTATTATATCACCGGTTGGTTATGTATTGTACGATTCGTTGTTTATGGATTATACGACTATTATTTATTTAACTGTTATTTTCCATTGCAAAGTTTCCTAAAATGGAATTAAGAGATTTGCATTGTCTGTCATAGACAGGTCAAAAGTTGGTACATTAATTGTACGTGGATATTGTTGGTATTCGCAAAGGAAAAATTTATCAAATTATTCACTAATTTAATTTTCTAAAAGGTTACATGTTGATTTTTCGGAATAAACGGACGATAGATTCCTAATTATTTAAATATAATATCAGATATTAAACTACAGTAAATATATTTAAGGTTATAAACATAGCCATGAAATATTTTTATATTTTACTTCTTCTTTCACACAAGCACAATGAAATAGTATCTTAAACAATGTCATTGCCTTGAGTCTGTGGATTTTAAATAGTTTTTTAAACTTAAAAAAAAATTTAAAAGTTTAAATTTAGTAAGAAAATTTCATTTAATTTTCTTGAAAACACGTGGTTTACGTTAAGTAAAGTTAGCTTTTAGAAATTGTTATTTATATTTTTTTCGCCACTCTCCGTTACCTTCTACAACTTTCAATATTAGACATTGTTTTTTTCGAAAATTCTCCGCTTTACAACATATACGCATACCTTCTCACTACTATTTCTGAAGATTCATTTCGACCTGGATAAGCATTTTTATTCAATTATCAAATTCTTTCAAAAGTTATATTTAGCATTTTTTCGTAACTCTTAAGTAAAAGTAGAAGTAAAACCACTAACTCATTATTTCGTTAATAATAAAAACATAATATATTAAAAAAAGGTTATCATATCTTTGGTACAAATATTTATAATTTTTGATTTCTCCTGTTTTAGGGACATGATGACGATCTGGCTCAAGACGCAGTGGACAACTTCAAGAAGACACTTTGCGAAATTACTGGTGTTGTTGACGAAGCGTGTTCTTCATAAAATCAGTACATACTCAATCTTGTTTGATACGTAAACATATGTTCAAAACTTTAGGTAATATTGTATTTAATACAATGTATTACAACCAATATTAAGATAATCCTTGAGATGTAGAGAAATATATTTACATTAAAGTTAGAATTTAAATGGACTAGTAAATATCAGACAGAAAATATATCATAAATGAGAGAATAATTATCTTTTTTCTTTTTTTTTCCTATTTCTTCACAAAAATATTACCCTTCAGCCATCCTATTTTCTAATTTATATTATAAACACACTTTTATTATTATTAAAAACACCCCAATATTAGATGAAGGTATATAATAATTTGGTATCATATATTTTTTAAATATTTGAATGCAATTACAATTATTTAAGCGTTTTTATGAAACATGCCTGTAATCTGAGAAATGATTATTTTCTTTGGATTCCTAGTTATCACAATTATTACATAGAAATAAATACTACTATTTCTTTAATAAACTTTGAAGTCATTGAAATTTCCAAAAAATAAATATTGTATATACCGATCATTTATGTCTCATCTTTTTCATTCATAACTGATAAATCATTTATTTCTTGAAAAGTTCAACTAGTCATGGTTATGAATGCATGTTTTAATAGATAAAAAAATTAAATAACTTTTTTTTTTAATAATTAACACTAAAATAATCATGTATCCGATATTTTCCGTTGTGGCTTTTCCATTTTAAAACGACTAAATTACCTCTGCTCTCTATTCCCATTTGAAACCCGTAAACTCCTGATTACTTCCTTTTTATTTCCTCACTTCGATTATTGCTATACGGTATATGGGGGCGTCTCCGGGTATCTCGAAGCGAAACTAAAACGTTTGATAAATTGCTTTGTACGATTCATCTTTGGGATCCAAAAGGACGCTTCTGTTTCCCGTTATTATGAAGAGCTGAAATGGCTTTATCTTTCCTACAGACGTACGTCGTAGCATCCGTCCTCTTCCAAGTCACCCAATCCCGCCGTCCTTCATATATCTCCTAGCTCCTTTAATGCAAATCTTCAACCCACTCCCGTAAAACCCGTTCCCGATCTTCAGATTTGTATACAAGAGGCCACCGAACCGCTGCTTTCGGCAGATCTTTCATTGTTCGATCCACATCCCTATGGAATTCTAACCCATCTGACATCCGTTGCTCCAATGTCCTCCTCACATTTAAATCCCACCTGTTCAATCACCTCTTATTCGTTCAGTTCTCATTAAATTGTAAATTTGTATATAAATTAACCGTCCATTTTTTTTATGACATTCAAAAACCTACAAGTTACTTTTGACCAGAACCATTCCTGGAATAACCATATTTCCCAGATTACCCGAAAATCCATAACTGTCCTTAAACAAATCCTAAGATTCCATGATTGTATTCCTCTAAAAACCTGAGTTATTTTTTGTCACTATGAAACACTTTGTGAATTTATATGAATTACATTATTACAAAATTAAAACTTTTATCAGTGATGCGTTTTTATCATATGAGTTAATGAAAAGTGATACAATAAAAAACATAACAGTCCAAGAGTCCTGGTGAAATTTCGTGACCCTCTTGAATTTTAAAACGAGGGTAATTGAATTGTGTAAAAAATACAAATGATTTAAAAATGACATTATTTGAAGACAATTTAAGCAATTGAAAATACAATAATAGAATAGATAATATAGGATACAATAGACAATTGGATCAATTCTCATTCAATGGTGGATCTAATATTTAATTTTGAGGGCTGGTCCCGTGACTTCCAGGATATGATAGAGATGTCTCACTATTTGAAACAATCAACTTAAAATATCAGAAATTCACTTCTCATTTATTCTTACCTCCTCCTTAATGTAAGAAGACATAAAAAATGAGATACACTAAAAATGCAAGTGTAGAAAACTTAATTTATAGTATTATTATTTATTGCAATAAAATGTTTAATGCTGGTATTGCCTCTAGTCCCCTTCACTGATTGAAGCGCAGGACCCGCAATACATAAAAGCCACGCCTGCTGCATCCTTGCCCCTTAAAGTCGATAAGGTCAATCACAGAGGAAATTAGTGATTGGTTAACATTGCATTAGTTAGCTTGTTATAGTCAAATGAACTCATGTTAAAGGAATAATTGAAAACTAGTTGGCCCGTGAGAAAAATTCGCCCAGTATATTGTTAAGTGATCAAATGCCAAATTGATAAGAAAATAAAATAATGCAATGTATCATAAGATAAAGAAATCCATTGTTACTTTATCGATAAATATAATCGTAAAAGGAAACAAAAATTAATTTAAAACTTCATTAATGTTTGGAGTCAACATAGTTACAAATTTCAATAAGCTGTATCTTTTCTAAAAATTGTCCGGTTTCGATTATTTGAAATATTCGAAACTACTTTCCTCTTTCGGTCAGTACAAATTGTTTTAAATTCGTACTCATATTATAGCTATATACCAAATATATAGTTATTTTCAAATGAAATGGGCTATAATAGAGCTCTCCTAATGAGTATTAATCGAAAATAAATAATAAAATGAAAAAAATATTTTGGAAAAATTTCAAGTCGATGTCGATGGTTTTTGCTTTTATAGCGAATTTAGTAATCGTTAATATAATCTTGGACATGACCGAGGGAAAAGTGTGTAATTTTTTAGTTATTCGCAAATAAAGTTACTTTTCTTTCATAACTTTTATGCCTGAATTTTCGGGGTGATTGGGCTATTTTGCCAGCCTGGAGGAGAAGAAACCTTCAAGATTGGTGGCTCAATCTTGGGAATTGGTGAAGAATTAACGATGATGTGACTTACCGACAAAAAACGCCTTCGATAAATAATATAAACTCCTCCTCTCTCGATCCTAGAGGCCTCACGTCAACGAAATGAGACAGGTACTAAATTACGGTACTACAATTAACGTAAGGTTGTGTGGATGCGAATTGCATTATCTCGAAAATAGTACTTTTTGGGACTTAAGAACATAGGACTAGTTAGTTCCGCGGGAACTATCCGGGTCTTGCTGTACGTATCAAAATCTTCAAAGCTCAATTTGGACCGTATCGATCTACAGATTTACCACCGTTCCAGTATTGAAGCCTAGCAAAATTTTTGTCTCGTTTTTATTTTATGATTCGCTAATCGCTTGTGAAATTCTGAATCCATGGGTACACCACTTTGAGCTTATAGTTGGTACAAAACCGATTTCGAGCCTTACGTTAATAATGTATGTGGGGATTCATTGCTTAATAAATTAAAATGTATAGGTTTTTTGGATAAGTTCCAAGTTCTAATACTGTCAAAGAGTGAGGACTCATCTTAAATGGCTTTTAGTAGAATTGTTATAGGATTTTATGGATCGAAATTAAAATTCGTCATTTTTCTATTAAAATCTCGTTCGTTCAACACCTCATTCAGCAAAATCCATCGCAGGAAAAGGGATCTATACTACTCTATTATACAGAAAATCCGGCAACTAGAAGGAAATTTTTATATGGGTGAAAGCAGAACTCAAGAGCTACAAAAAAGTTCATATAAACAATCGGCCAATTTTTTACAGAAAAATAGGTAATCCATGCTTTGTGTTTTTATAAGTAAATTATCTATGTTTTTTGATAAATAGGAACCAATAACTAAAGAAACATTCAATTTGATTAATTAATGATTGTCTCACTGTAAACGAGACAAAATTTCCTTCAAATGAAAATAGAGTTGGTTATCGTTAAAGCCATTTAGAGGAATTAAACTAATTTCTGTTAAAAAAAAAAAAAAAAAATTCGTTTAATAAGCTTCAAGTCCGTGTTAACTAAGATGAGGTTTATTTGGTAAAATTGAATCACCTCATGTGTAAAGAAATAATGTGATTTTTTGTTCTATCTCATAAAACTATCCCTGTTTTCAGCAAAACTAACTAGAATTAATTGTTACAAAGCTTTTATTTCTTGTTTTTCCATGACATTGGAAGTATTATAATAAATGAAATTGACTATATCCACTTTTTTATACATAAAGTGGTTACGTAACTGTGTTTTATTCAATATATTTCATAGGAATTGATCTGTATTTTTAAGTAACAAACTTAATGTTTCTAGTTCTAAAATAATGAAATCTGCTGATTGCTTTAATTATTTTCATGAAACCTTAAATCTTAGGATCAGGAAAATTTTTATTGTCACCTAAATATAGGGATTACCGCTTCCTATACAACAAGAACATGATTAAGTTAAAATACCAGAAAACTTGAATTTCTTACGTTTCTGCCGATATTGGGCTCATTGTTTATATGAACAATTTTGTAACTCTTGAGGTCTGCGATCACTACTATAAAATTTTCCTTCCACTTACTTTCTCCCCCCCCCTTTCCCCTCCTCGACCTGTAAAAAGTATAGATAATTTGTTTTTTAAAACTTCTCATTATATTAGTCCAATTACATATTTTATTTTTGTATATTGTAACATTGGAAAATACACTTTATATTCTATAAAGTATCTCTGAAAATAAGGATTTTTGGCTGTACTGGATTGGGGTTCTGAATTGTAAACAAAGAAATTTATTGATAAAGTGTATTTATTTACAACAATTCTATCATAGTAAAATGAATGAAACAATCTTTCAGCAACTAATGCCGTTCACTATTTCAATCAATTTTATTTTATTTTTTTCAATTTGTAGGAAATTTAGTAAGCTTTCAAATATTCCAAGTTTTAAAAATCTATATCTCTGTATTACATCGTCCGATTTCGATAACTTTTTTTTTATTTCGTAAGGCATTCAGGACGCTTTCAAATATATGTGGGTATAATACAACACAATTATGCATTTTTTTTTAGTTATTCGCGAATAAAATTCTGATTGATTGAAGAAAATTTGAGAAAAAAAAATTATTTTGCAATTCGCAATAAAAAGTCGTATTTTAGGGTTTAAAGAGGTGGGAAATACAAATCTCAACTTTGTTTCTTCTTAAATAAATATCAAAACCCACTTTTCTCCATAACCCGATAAAAATTATTTCAGTTCGGAGATAATTATCATTGATTTTTTTCATTTTTATTTTGTACTGAATAAAGGAAGATTTCAAATAAATATGGGTATAATGGATTAAAAATTGTGTACTTTTCGAGTTATTTGCAAAACATCTGAATACATGGTGTTAAGGCCACTCACTGTAGCCCTTAATTTAAGTGCGTCAAATA